ATCATCAGCTTCACATTCAACCATTCATATAGCTTGTTTCATTACATTGATTATTATCCCCTCCATATATCATCAGTTAACAGTGTTTTTCTCTATCCTCTTTAGCTTTTTTTTTTTTTTGGGGGGGGGGGAACTTGCCTTTTTGGAATTTACAGTCTCGGCTTTTAGGGAAGGTTTTTACATTTGTCTGTGGATATCCAGGGCTCATGTATGAGATTACTAACAAGCATTACTGAATAATCAGATGAGGGACAGTTTGCTATGTCTACTAGGTGGCTAAAGTCTGATCCTCAGAGCCTATGGTTTAGACGGTCAACAACGCTTGGGCCCACAGGGTCTTGACCTCCTGACCGGGTCTGCATGGTCTGCATCAGATTCCCCCTTATTTATTGTTTGTTTAAGGGACGCTACCTGTCTTAGGCGGTCAGTGTGAATTCCTCAGTCTTACCCGTCAAAGAAACTCATTGCAGCATGGCAATGGCTCTATCTTAGGTTGCCGAGGTTCCACGTGATCCTTACCCGTCTCTGGCCACACGTCCAGCATAAACAGCCGCCATCCGAGGAAGGCAGGGAGGGAGGAGATCGGCTGGGGACCCCATGCGCAAGATGTTGCCAGCCCACCACCTGCTCTAAGGTGACCAAGCAGGATCACTATACTGAGGTTCAATCAAGTTCTTAGAGGATCTTATTCTCTAGCAGGGGTAGCAAATTAGTAGCCACTCAGTGCTCTCTTTGAGAATTACTTATATGAGAAATTTGAGCATGTAGCTGATGAATACCCACAGACAAGTGGATATTATTCCACAACCTCCGAAAATGCTGTTGGATTAAGTTCCAATCAAGTTCTGGATTACTGAAAGATAACACAAATCTACTTATACCATGAATAACCTTAGCTGGGAGTGTAATCTGGGGTGGCTGGTGATTTTGATCTGCAATCTTGCAGTTAGCAGTCCAGTGCTTATCTTACAGTTCCACCAGGACTCCTTAGCCTTATACTTGTTGTTAAGTGTCGTCGAGTCGATTCCGACCCATAACAACCCGGTACAGGGTTTCCAAGGAGCAGCTGGTGAACTGGAACCACTGACCTTGCAGTTCAAATGCCTTTGCAGTCTGATGCATTAGCCCACAGCGCCACCCCAGGACTCCTACATACTAGGGAAGTTTAATAAAATTTCTCAGACTTTTCTGTAATTTTGAAATTACTGCAAAATAAGTAGTTTAAAAGGTACACATACAGAATCATTTTATTATTTCAAATAAACTGTTTAAAAAATAAAAAGGCAAGTCCTCACACAGAACAAGGAGTTCTGGTGTGGTGCTGTAGGATAAGCACTTGACTGCTAACCAAATGGTGGGTGGCTCACACCTGCCAGCCACTCCCAGATGCTCTATTAAGGGTCACTGTGAGTCAGAACCAACTCCAAGGCACAACTACAACATACAAAACCATAGTTGTTAATGGATTATGAGCATGAAGTTCAATTTCATGAATTTGGAGAAAAATTACTAATGTTATATACTTTTGACTTGATTCAAGGTCAATTTGTAAAATATTTTGAAATAAACATTTATGCAAATGTTAAGCTTAAAATAATGTTGTTGTTAAGTGCCGTCGAGTCGATTCCGAACCATAGCGACCCTGTATTGGGTTTCCGAGGAGCAGCTGGTGAGCTTGAACCACTGACCTAGCAGTTCAAACGGCTTTGCAGTCTGGCGCATTAACCCACAGTGCCTATGACACAGCAACTTGGAAATGGTTAAATAGGTCTTGTTCAAGTAACAGAAAATGTGAATGTGCATCAACAATCAACATCCACAGAGGCAGCAAAGATGTCACCACTTGTCTGACTCAAGCCATGACATTTCTCATCAGCTACATGCATGAAAAAATTGGCTAATGAACAAGACGACAAAAGAACAACTGATGCGTTCAAACTGTAGTACTGGCGAGGAATACTGAATATACTCTGCACTGGCAGAACAAACAAATCAAACTTAGAAAAAACAATAGGCAGAATGTTCCTTAGAAGGAAGGAGAGATAGACTTCAGCTTACTTACTTTGGACACATTATCAAGAAAAACCAGTTGCTAGAAAACAACATCATGGTTGGTAAAGCAGAGGGACAACAAGAAAGAGGGGAACTTATTTAAGTTCGACACAACAGCCTCAACAAAGAACAGACTCCAATATACCAACAAGTGTGAAGATGGGACAAGATCAGGTAATGTGGCCTTCTGTTACAGGTAACATCATCATGAGTCAGAGCCAACTTGTAGCAACTAATAAAAACCCCTTCTTAAATGCCTTTAGGAGATCTTTTATTCCTTTACGTGGGTAGTAGCTCAGGTAAAACAAGGGCCTGATGAGAAAATGGACACACTACTTGGTAGAGTGGTTCAACAGCCACAGAAAACTAAGGCTAAAAATGCGCAGCATAGTACCAAGCACAAACTGTATGCACTATATTAAATTCTCTCCTGAATGATGGAATCAATGACAATCCTATCCTTCAAAATGATCTTGACCTGTTTAGGAATAGGTGTAGCTAGGGATTAATAATGGGACAGTCAAGAAATTCTGTTCAAAACTGCCCTTTCAAAGTATTAGTAGTTGCTATGATTGTTTTGGAAAAGGTAATTGAATGGTTTAGACTTTTAATCCAGAAGTCCTAGTGAGTCCTGTAGGATAAGCTGCTCTGTATAGGATTGCTATGAGTGAGAACCAACTCAACGGCACTTAACAACAAGAACACACCCAATGCTATGATTCTGATGTTTGTGCATCAAAAAAATTCACTGACACATACACAAAGTAGCAGTTTAAAAATATTTTTAGACTACTTCTCAAAAGTGCTCCTAAATGTTAACATGGCAACTCAAATTTTAATTAGACATTTCCTACTGATGCTTACCACAGCATATTAGTTTAGATACTTCAAATTCAAACTTACATAGAGTCAAGTTTGCAATGCACGTATCACTTTTCTATACATTGCAGTCCCCTTATCAAAATATACATATTTAGTCTTAATTTGATGAAAGAAATAATTTCTTGTCAACCAGATATCCCAACATAATGATGTGCAATTCTAGCACTCCAGTAGTTTTAAAAAGATACTTAATTAAATTAATTCATATACCAACAATTAATCCATAACAAGGTCACAAATATGTTAGGTACAAAATATAACCTCTGGGGGGGAAAATATATATAACTTCTGCTCTCAAGTGCTTATTTTCATTACAGGTTATAGATTCTGATAATAAGAACGAAATAAATGACAAACACGCTAAAGAAGTGTAGCAAAGGGACAGTATACTTGCAACTAGAATGATCAGGAGGGACTTTAAGGAGATAAATTTTGAACTGAATCTAACAGCAGTTTCAAGGAGTGAAAAATGGGGTAGGACCCTCTTTTTGGAAAATGGTAAGAGGGCAACACAATGTTCTGTTCTTCCACGTACCTAAGGTTGTTGTTGTAGTGTGCAGTCGACTTGGTTCCAACTCATAGCGACCCTGTAAAGAGTTTTGAGACTTTAAATCTACACGGGGATTGAAAGCCATACTTTCTCCTAAGGAGCAGCTGACAGGCTAAAACCATGAATCTTGTGGTTTGCAGGAGCTCTGGTAGCGTAGTGGTAACGAATCGGGCTGTGAACCACAAGGACAGCAGTTCGAAACTACCAGCTGTTCCGCAGGAGAAAGATGAGGCTTTCAGCTCCCGTAAAGATTAACAGCCTCGGAAACCCTGTATAGGGTCGCTGTGAGTCGGAACCGACTCCACGGCACATAACAACAACAACAACTTACTATATGGAGCCACTAAGCTCCCGTATCTCAGGTTTCTGTTGTTAAGTGCTGTCAAGTCAGTTCCGACTCATATCAGCCCTGTAGAAGGTTTCCAAAGAGCCGATGGTGAGTTTGAGTCACCGACCTTGCTGTTGAAACTGACCTTGTGAATCAGTACTTATCCTACAAGCCCTACACCAGGATGCCATATCTAAGGTGGTAGTGGTGGTGATGTGCCATGGAGTCGGTTCCGACTCACAGCGACCCTGTACAGGGTTTCCAAGGCTATAAATCTTCATGGAAGCAGAAAACCTCATATCTTTCTCCCGCGCGGAACATCTGGTAGTTTCGAACTGCTGACCCTGTGGTTAGCAGCCCGATTTGTAAGCACTATGCTACCAGAGCTCCTTATATCTAAGGTAGGGAATGCCAAACTATAAAACCATGAACTACATCCAGTCTGCAGCTGGTTTGTGTATGGCCTGAGAGCTACCAATGGTTTTTACATTTTTTAATTATTGAGAGAAATAAAAATACTTCATGGTACATGAATATTATATGAAATTCATACATACTTTCATTGGCAAACAGACCCATTCATCTACATACTATGTATAGCTATCTTTATACTGCAAGGCAGAACTTTTAAGTAGAGGAGTGACACTTAGATCTATATTTGGAAAAGAGCATTTCTTCCTGCTACACTACAGGGGAACCAGTCAGTAGGCTAGTGTTGTAAGTAGTTCCAGTGAGAGATGTGCAAAGCTTGGACTAGGTGCTAGCAGAGGAAAAGAAGGCCAGGTAAGACTGTGTTTCCGATTCCTTCCAGCCCAAAATTGTTAAGAATCCATAGAGGTTTCCAAGTTTAGTCTTTGGACTTTGCAGGGTGTTTCCAATTATGGCAAATTCTCAAACTTATTATGAACAGCTCTTCAATAGGGAGTAAGTTAGAACAGGGCATTATGCATCTAAAAAGTTTGAGAATTACTACAGAATTAATGATTATTTTCTCTATTAAAATGTTTCTAAAATATGGCTTGTATTTTTCTTAAACTAAAAAGAACTACTCTTAAGAAATTAAATTTATGATTACAGAATTAGCAAATACAACATGGATGAACACGAGATGGAAATAAACAAACACTGCTTAGTGCCTTTTTTACTGCATTTCTGTATCGTATAGTAATGACAAAGCAAAGAACATACCTGCTACACTCTAACAACGTAACCTGGAGGCGGCCCTCAGCTAGCGCCCACTGCTGGATGTGCATATGCTCATCTTCATCTTCTTCAAATCCTTGGAAGGTTTGGAATGGAAAAAATGGCTTAAACCTGACAAAAGTAAAGATAAGTCTAAATTTCTGAGTCACAAACACCATAGTTTAAAGCATAATAAAGAAAGCAACACAAAACAAAGTGAAAAGTCTAATTTTGGTGTGGTGCTATAGTCTAAGCACTGGACTGATAAACTTCAAGGTCAGCAGTTTTAACCCACTAGCTGCTTTCTCGGAAGCCCTATACAAGTCTCTTTGAGTTGGAACTCAGCAACAACAAAACTGTATGTGCCCTACAAAACCAAAGGTCACTATTCTTCCTCATAACAAGTAGCAAAGAGTGGCTTCTCTGGTCTTTTGGCACGCCCTAGTTGACAGAAGTCCTGGTGTGGCGCTGTGAGTTAATGCACTGGACTGCAAAGTTAGTTTAAACTGCAAGGTCGGTGGTTCAAGTTCCCCAGCCACTCCTCAGAAACCTTATACAGGGTCGCTGTGGGTCAGAACTGACTCGACGGCACTTAACACAACAAGCTGACAGGGCAGGTGATTAGAGCAAAGAAAAGGAAAATGTAGCAATAGAAGGCCCTGAAGCTTGGCTGAGGCAGGAGAGAAGATTCTTTTCTGGACCAGATATGAGAGGAAATGTTCCTAGAGTGCAAGATCAAAACTCAGAATGCACTTCCTATGGAAACAATATAAGACATGAAGGTGATGATAATAAAAACAACACCAACAACATTTACCAGTGGCCAAAATGTCCATCAGGTGTTTACTATTTATCAGCCATGGTGGCACTGTGGGTTGGGTGTTGGGCTGAGAATCACAAAGTTCAAAACCACCAGCCACTAAGAACAGAAAGATGAGGCTGTCTGCTCCCGTAATGATTTGGTCTTGGAAGCCCTGTATAGGGTTTCTATGAGTCTGAATTGACTCGATGGCAGTGGATTTGGTTTGGTTCTGGTGCTAACAGCTTTCCATAGATTATCTTATTTAATGCTCACAACTCTGAAAGGGTACTACTCGAGATGAGCAAAGTGAGCCTCAGAAAATTTGTATGTGTTGACCTTAACCAGTGAGTGGCAAGACCACAATTCAAACAGTTGATGTGGCTCTACCAAAGTCCAAACAACCTAGCACTTTGTTGTTTTTTAGTGCTGTTGAGTCAGTTCTGACTCATAGCGACCCTGTCTGTATGGGGTTTCCGAGAAGCGGCTGATGGATTTGAACAGTTGACCTTGTGGTTAGCAGTACAGTGCTTATCTTACACTACCTACATATTTTTCAGGCCTTTATGGTCAATACCATTGTTTTTATGGATAAGCTTATCCTGAGTTAAAATATTTAATTTGAAACATAACTTATACTGCTCTGTGAAAGCAAAAGACAACAAACATTTGGGTGTGGGCCTACAGTTTCCACCTGATACCACACAAAGTCACTAGAGTATTATTCTAAAAGCTCATGTCCATGACATTTGCCTGCTCAAAAGTTTTAATGGTGTCTCAATGACCACAAAAAAGTTCTTAAGGTTTAAATAGGAAGAAGATTAGGGCGACAATGAGTTTGTGGTAAAGGTGGAGAAACAATCTGGAGAAGGAGAATGGTTAGACAACTTGAAGATAATGTCTCTGCACTGTGCATGTAGAAAGTGCTGAAGGAAAGAGTCACTGTGGGAGTCCTCGAATGTTAAACCAAACACTTTTATAAAACTAAGATTGTTGTTGTTGTTGTTGATATCCACAGCAGAGCATTTTCCCTTAACATACATCTTCTGGAGGCCTGGTGTGGCGCTGTGGGGTAATCCGCTGGACTGCACAGTTGGTTTGAACCACAACGCAGAGGTTCAAGCTCACCAGCTGCTCCTCGGAAACCCTATACAGAGTCCCTATGGGTTGGAACCTACTTGATGGCACTTAACAACAACAACAATACAGGAAATTCCACTTTCTTCTGGCCTGGAAACTTGGTTGGTCAGGAGAGAACTTCTCACACAATATATATTTCTCCTTCTAGGCCTTGGGCACTAATCTAAGGTCTATCCCTACTCTTCAAATCCTCCCCTCTTTTCCACATTTGGCTCCAGATCCTAGATGACACCAGACTACACACTGATTTTACTTTTTTCTATCTCACAGTCCTGGTGTGGCGCTGTGGGTTAATGCGCTGGACTGCACAGTAGTTTGAATCACAAGGTCAGTGGTTTAAGCTCGCCAGTCGCTCCTCGGAAACCCTATACAGGGTGCTATGGGTCAGAACCAACCTGACAGCACTTAACAACAACAATCTTACAGTCATTTAAACTGCTGTACATTTATGTCTTGGAATTTCAACTAAAATATGACCTTGCCCCTCTTTGTCTTTCATGCACATACAACATGAAGAATCATTAAAACATTTAAATGCAAAATTAGAAAAGATTCACTTAATAGCAGCTAAGGAAATCAATAAAGGAGGAATGGAGCAATAAAAAAGGCACGAGACCTATACAATACACAAAGTAAAAAAAAATGGCAGATGTATAGCAATAATAACATTACATGTAAATGGGTTAAACAAGCCAATCAAAAGAAAAAGACCACTGAACTAGATTTAAAAAAATGATCCAACTATATGCTGTCTGTAGGCGAAACAGTTTAGATTCAAAGATATAAATACACTGAAAGTAAGAAGCTATAAAAATTATGCAAACAGCAACCACAAGAAAGCTGGAGTGTCTATACTAATATCAGACCCAGGAAATTTTTAAACCAAAGAAGTTACTAGAGATAAAAAGGGGCATATAACAATAAAACAGTCAATCCATTAGGAAGATACAACAATTATAAACAGATATGTATCTAATGATAGAGCACCATAAAGCAAAACTGACATAAATGGAGAAAAAGGCAAAATTGGTGGTTGGAGATTTTAATACCCCACTGCCAATAATGAATAGAACTGAGAATATCATCTTTGAAACAGATGTGCATACCACTATAAATCTAACAGATAACTATAGAACACTCCACCCAACAACAACAGGATAGACAAGGGTAAGTCAAAAAGTATTGCTACTAGAGCTCCAGTTCATATGCCTGGGTATATTCTAAATAAAACATGTCTCTGCAGTCAGTAGACAGCTACAAGAAAAGTTCTTTCAGTAATACATTCATAGTTTCATCAGAAACAGAGTAACAGTCTTGTTAGGGTGCCTTCAAATACAATTTTTAAAGTCCAATCAAAACAATGGCTTCCGAGAGGAACACTGCAGATTATCGGACTGTTGTGATTTGTAGAGTTTTCATTGGCTATTTTACAGAAAGATTATCAGGCCTTTATACCTGGTCTTTCTTCATCTGAAATCTATTTAGCATCACAGCAATATGCAGCCTCTAATGACAGATGGTGGTGATGGTTCATAAGGTAAAACTGCTACCACTGACATCGGTAGAAGGGGATTAGGAAGAGCTTGTGGTTGTTGAGAACATTGCTTGTTCTGAATGCTGGCTACGTAAGTTTGTTCAGTTTGCAAAAATTCACTGAGCTGAGTTTTTATAATTAGTGTACTTTTCAGGTGATGGGTTGTATTTTAGTAAAAGTTAGAAATTAAAAATAATAATTAATTTTTGAAATGTGCATTTCTTCACATTTTTAAATACCATTTTAAAATCCCCTTTTTAAAAAAACCATCTAAGAGACTAACCAAGTCCTTTTCTCAAACATGGATCTGAGAAAATATTCTATAACTTGAAAATTATGTTTTTGCTCTAAGATGTTTCTTCACAATTGTGCCACAAGCAGCCTGAATGCCAGCTGGTGGCATTCCCATTACATGGCAGCACTAAAACTGTTGGCAAACACTGTGGATATTCCCAGAAAAAAGAGTGTACTATAAATGCAGTATAAAAATATTCCAAGGTCTAGATCTAGTCTTGACTTTATCATTGGCTTGTGTGACTCTGTCTATGTGATAAGCCTGCTGTTGTTGTTAAATGCTGTGGAGTAGGTTCTGACTCATAGCGACCCTGTGTAGAGTTTCTGAGGAGCAGTTGGTGGGTTTTAACTTCCGACCAGGTGTTGGCAGTCCAGTGCTTATCCTACAGCGCCACACCAGAAGTGCATCCCACCCCAATCCTCTTAAAATAGAATGGCGGAGCACGTCAGAAACACGTCATTGAGATGATTACATCATTACACAACTACCAATGAGAATCAAGGTCTAACCAAGTTGACATATATTTTTGGGGAACACAATTCAATCTACTGACAGCATTATTAGCCGTAAGAGACATGCAAAACAAAACTACAATGAGGTATCATCAACAGGATGACTAAACTTCTTTTAAAAACTACCACCAACAGAAAATACCAAATGGTGAGGATGCGGTTGAACTGGAAACCTTATACCTTGCTGGTGGGAATACAAAATGATACTGTCATCATGGAAAACACTGTGGCTATTCTTTTAAAAAGCTAAAAATGGAGCTACCACAAACCCAGTAACTTCACTCTCAGGTACATACTCAAAGAACTTGGAATGAGAGCGTCAGTAAGACATTTACATAATAGTATCCAGTGAAGCATGTTAACGATCGATCGCCCACAAGATGGTAATAACCTAAATATACCCATCAGCAAATGAATAAAGAAAATGTGGTCCATAAAAAAATGATGTATTATTCAACCAGTAGGAGAACTGAAATCTTGATGAATGCTACTGTATGGATAAGGAGTCCTGACAGCATGGTGGATTATGAGTGGGGCTGCTAACTGCAAGGTCAGTAGTTCAAATCTACCAAGGGAGAATGATGAAGCTTTCTGCTCACATAAACATTTACAGCCTTGGAAACCCTATACAGGGTTACTATGAGTCCAAATCAACTCAGTGCAAACAACCACCACCACCACCACTGTACAGATGGAGCGTGAGGACATTATGGTAAACAAAGTAAGATGATCACAAAAGGATTGTATGACTCACTTATATAAAACTTATATAAAAATGTATGAGATCAAAGTTTATTAGTGTAGAAGGGAGAAAAACAGGGTTAACAGTAATGTAAAAATCTAACTGATTAA